CTTCGTCCTTATTTTCCCCATAGTTTGGGATTATTAATTTCAAAATTAATCAGTGTTAAAGATGCACACTGCAAGATTCTCAGAGAACTCTTAGGTAAGAAAAAAAATTGTGAACGGTTTTATTTAAATTTTAATTTATCAGCTTTAGGTTTAGACACATTACCTATCATGTAAGAAATAATGGGCCCGGCAGCATGGCCTAGCAGCTAAAGTCCTTGCCTTGAACGCACCAGGATCCCATATGGGCGCCAGTTCTAATCCCGGCAGCCCCACTTCCTATCCAGCTTCCTGCTTGTGGCCTGGGAAAGCAGTCGAGGACGGCCCAAAGCTTTGGGACCCTGCACCCGCGTGGGAGACCCGGAAGAGGCTCCTGGCTTCGGATCGGCATAGTATCAGCCGTTGCGGCTCACTTGGGGATTGAATCATCGGATGGAAGATCTTCCTCTCTGTCTCTCCTCTCTGTATATCTGCCTTTCCAATAAAAATAATAATAATAAAAAAATAAATAAATCTAAAGATTTACAAGTTTAAATACTATGAAAGTCAAAGTCAATGAATAGAAGTATATATGTGTATTCTTTTCTTTTTTCCTTCCTACTTTTCTTCCTTCCTTCCTTTCATCCATCCATACATCCTTGCATCCATCCATCCTTCTTTTCCCGTTTCCTATCTCCTTCCCTTCCTTTCTTCTTTCTTTAATTCTAGTGACCTTTTAGGTAAAGGGTTTAACTACATTTCCAGTTTATCATGCCTTCAGGGCACTTTCTTTCCTCAAAGCTTTCTAAGCCCTCAGTTATACATACCTGCTAAATTGTTCAAGTTAATCTTAAAATCAGTAGAGGAAGAAATTGTTGATTTTCAATATTCATTCCCTCTTTGTGCCTCAGAATCTTAGTTGAGCATGAAATTACATTAACTAGGGACTGAATTCTATCTCTCTTGCATTGATAGGAAAGTGGACATGACTATGCAACTTTAAGATCACATTAGAAAACTGTCTGCCTTCATATCCACTCTTCCCATATAAATCATTAGTAATATTTAACATAGACTATTTTATGCAAATTGGTACCACCACAGGAACATAAAAGTAAAGAGTATACTAATGTTCAACTTGCTTCTAAACTAAGAGAGATAAGTAAAAAAACGACAAATATTTTCAAATACGATATAAATAAAATAAACATAATAATAGATACATAAACAATGAAGAACATACATCAAAATCATTCTCTATGTGAAAGGTGAGGAAGCCAACTCCAACCCAACTGAGTCTAGAGGCTGCCCCCGGAGGCACCAAGTCCATAGCAGAAAGGTGGCTGAGTAGTAGAAAACCTCAGCAAGCACGGCAAGAGCGAAGGTCATGGAGATACAGATGGAGTATTGGTATTCGTGCTACTATCATTTGCCTATCTAATGTACATTCTGAGTCTTATCATGTTTCAGTTTCTTTAGCCTCAAACACTACCTAAGCCAGATCAATTCTCTCCTAGGGCACTGCAGCTGCCTACCCACCAGCTTCCGAGCTTCTATTCCTCCTCCCCACTCAACCTCCACAAAACACCTCAAGTGATTTTTTTTTCCAAAAAATGAATCTGTTGTCACCCCAAAGCTAGCAAAAACTACAATTCTTGTAAGCAGAGTAAAAAGCAGCTTTCTCATGACTGTTCAAGCCTTACATGACCTGCCCACTCCTACACCTGACCACATCTCCTAATTACAGCTGCTTATTCCTCAATCACACTTCTCCCATTTTTGCCCTTAAGGTCTCTCTCTCCAGGTTGGTACTGTTTTTGTTCCTTCTATTTATGGTATTTTTCTCAGAGGGTCTTCGTGTCTGAAGCGGTCGCAACACTTTGGTCTAACTCAAACAGCAACCTCTCCCCTCCTCACAAAAGCCTGCCTTACACTTAGACATACTTCTTTCTTCAGAGAAATTACTGATCCATTAATATATATTTTTATGTGTTTTCAAATTTATTATCCGTCTCACCACACCAATCTTCCAGTGTTCAGTCACATGTTGAAAAATAACTGAAACAATATTAGAAACATTACCAATCAATTCTAAGGGGGTTAATTATTTTCTCTTAATTTAGAGATCTAGGTTTTCTTTCTTTAATTTACATTTAGGGTGACTTCCTGTATCATACTTCCTGTCTTCTGTTTCTACATTTTGGATAATTCAGTTTTTGCATCACATTCTATCTTATATAAACTCCTTAAAAACAAAAAAATGGGAGGTATCATTACATTTTTAAAAGGAAAAAGTAAACGCATACTGTTAGGATTCAACAGGATGTTGACAGCAAAACACAGAACTCCACATGCAGTCTCAAAAATCCTCCCAATACAAACCATACCGTCTTCCAGGCTTCCTTCCTCTCTCCTCATCACTGCTCAACTTTGCTCTCTGTCCTTCTGTCATGAAATCCCAGCTCCAAGCGGTCCTTCTTCTCTAAAGCTCTCTGAACCTGCCAGGCACTCAGGTCTTCTCTGTGCTTAGTGTTGAGAACTTGTTAAAGCATACTTGTCATTCCTCTTTTCATGGTGCAGTGTAATGATTTACTTTCAAATGACTGTCACTCCTCTGTAGGAAGAACTCGGTAAGGAGCTGGAGAATATTCTGTTGGTTTTAATACACCTCATGGTTCTGGAAGGTTATATATATCATTCTATTCTCCATTAGTAATACAAATAGGACCACAGGAGTCTGGGGAAGTCACTAGTAATGACAGGCGCCTTTCTTTAGTTCATTCTTCTGACCTCTGGGTGGAGCCTGGGACTAACAGGAGAGACTCTGAACTGAGGTTCGGATGTTTTAAAGCGCCAATGACATCAGCTTGTGGGGTTTTCCTGATATCATCTTCCCTCCACTTACAAATACTTCTACCATCTGCTGTCCAGTAAGGGTTCTTGTCCCTTCAAGATACTGTAATATATGTATTATAACCCCTAAACTTGAGAGTTTAAGAAGAATGTTAACAGGTTATTGAAATCACTGAACCAATGTGTGAAAATAGAAATCTTTTTACTTTAAAACTAATCCGTGGGGGTCCAGCGTGGTAGCCTAGTGGGCTAAGTACTCGCCTTCTGTGGGCAGGGATCCCATGTGGACACCAATTCATGTACTGTAGGCCCTGCTTTCTACTCCAGCTCCCTACTTGTGGCCTGGGAAAGCAATTGAGGATGGCTCAAAGCCTTGAGATCCTGTACCCATGGGGAAGACCTGGAGGAGGCTCCTGGCTCTAGATTGGCTCAGCTCCTGACATTGTGGCCACTTAGAGGGTGAATCAGCAGACAGGAGATCTTCTCTGTCTCTCCTCCTCTCTGTATATCTGACTTTCCAATAAAAATAAATAAATCTTTAAAAAACGTTTTTTAAATTAAAAAAGTAATCTGGGCCTGGTATTGTGGTAAAGCATGGAAAACTACTGCCTGCAATACCAGCATCATATATGGACTCTGGTTCAAGTCCCGGCTGCTCCACTTCTGATTTAGCTTATTGCCTGGAAAAGTAGTAGAAGATAGCCCAACTGCTTGGTTCCCTAAACACATGGAAGAGACAGATAAAGGTCCTGGCTCCTAGCTTCTGCCTGATGTGGCCATTTGGGGAGTGAACAAGAAGACGGTAGGGAGCTCTCTATTTACATACCCCTCTCTGTAACAGAAATGTATTATTTAAAAAATAAAAATAGAAGTAATCTGCCATCTAAAATAAAATTATAATCAAAATGCATATATAAGTTATATGATATATTTATACATTAATATTAAACATATATTAATGTAATTCCTTAAACATAATATCTTAAATATATTGTTTATATATTATTGTGTGATGCTATATGAATATATACCTTATATATTTATATAATATATATGTATATAATCTATATATTATGATAAAATATATAATTATATAATATAGATAAAAATGTGTTAAAGATCCTTCACTATCATACTTCATCTTATTTTTCCATTATTCTGAAGGAGTTAGTCTCTGAATCAATTTCCAAAGCTCATGGGACTCCAACTGGCATGTGATTCAGGGTATTTTTATGAGACTGAATTTCTCTTACTCTTTTTTGTTACAATACTATGTTATTATCACAACATCTTAAATTATCTTCTTTGCGAGTTCTTATCCAGCTCTTCTCAATCTCAGGAAAGTTCCTTATCCACACATTCCTTGCTACATCAATCAACTGGTCATAAAATTGTTTCTATATCTATCCTCTCCATAATGCCATAAATCCCTAATGAAAAGATTTACCTCTTACAGAGTCCATGATTTGCATGTTTTTGGTAAATACTCCATTAATCTCTAGTCACAACACTTTTTAAAACATTTTATTATAATCTGAAAGGCAGAGTGAGAGACAGACATATCTTTCATTCACTGATTCACTGCCAAAATGCCAATGACAACCAAGGTTGGACCAGGTTGAATCAAAAGTCAGGAATTCTATCAGGATTTCCCACGTGAGTAGGAGGAACCCAAGGACTTGAGTCACTGTCTGGTGTTTTCCCTGGTTGGAAAGTTCTGTAACTTTAGGCAAGTCACTTGATTTCTCTGAAACTCCTCCATTTTAAAGAAAGGGAATGTTGTCTATGAATTGAAGTATGAGATACATGAAAGAACACATGGAATCATTTAACACAATATCAATTATGCAATAAATATCTGGTTAATATAAATTTACTAATGACCGAAATGAATGTCAATCTCTTTCCAAATCATTCACATTTTTAAAAAAGATTTTGTTTTCTGAAATGTATTATTACAGAGGGAAAGGAAAAGACAGAGAGAGAGAGAGAGAGACATGGAGACTGAGAGTGTTCTACCATCCATGGGTTCATGTCCAGGTTGCTCCACTTCTGATCTAGCTCCTGCTTATTGCCTGAGAAGGAAATGGAGGATTATTCAAGGCCTGGGGCCTAGCACCAGTGTGGGAGACGTGGAAGAAGTTCTTGGCTCTCAGCTTCAGACTGAGTGAACCAGCAAGAAAGCAAGTTGAAATAGCTACAGACATTACTACCTTTTGGCCTAACCTGTTTCATAAACTTTTCAACCGTATGCCATAGTGGGATACAATTCAAGTCTCAATTCCTTCATTGAACTTTCACTAATCTCTCTAATCTAGCTTTCTTCTCTGAACTCCTATGCAGTACACTGTTCATAGCAAATCACTTCAATGCCCAATTATACCTCATACAATAGTTGTATTATAACTTCCACTTACCTATGAGAACTCTAAGGAGCAGAGAGATGAAGTGATCTATCCAGGACACACAGCTGATAAATGTTAGAACTTGAAGAAAGGTCCATGAGACAGCAATATCTCATAGGAGATATTCTGGGCTGATGTAATTATTGAAAGTCTTCCTAACATAACCAAACTACTTTGTAACAATTAAAGCATAGTGGGGGTAAACATACATCATTAAGTTTAAATTATAAGATATTTGATTGATAGTGAAATATAATTCCATGTTCTTCCACCACCGGCCAAACACAAAGCTTTTGTAAAGGCTAGTTGCTCCCTCTAGTGACAGTTAATGGAAACACATGCCCTACAAGCATTCAAAAGAGATCCAAATGGAGCTGTACCTTGTTCAAGAGCCCCTTGGAATTTCGTCATCATGTATTTTATGATCACAAGGAATAGAAATTGTTACTTTCACTAGGTAGGGTCAGGGGCATCAGAAATGATTTATTCAAGGGAAATCTTCCTCAACAAAATGTTGGCCCATTGCCAACAGGAAAATCTACTTACATTTACATGAGACTAGAATTTAACATAATTTTGTATGTAAAAATGAAGCTTGTTTGCACTGTTTTAATATGCAATGAATTTGAAGGAAGTAAATATGGTATATCACCTAATTTAAGATACCATCAATTATAAAAGCTATTAAACACAGAAAGTGAAGGAGAAAACACTGCAAATTACACTATGAATCAATGCACTCAAAATCTCCACTTTAAATTTATACAAAGTACTCTTTTGGAGTTATTTAGACAGAACTAAAATATATTGAACACATATAATGAAAAAATTAAATAAAATAGAGTTAAGGTATTCCTAAAACTTTCTCGTACTCAGAACATGTTCTGAAGTTTTTTGATCAGAATTGTCAATGATTCATGCTTCCCAAATAAATATACCATCTGTTATCAAGTGTCTTGATGATGCCATACTTTCTAAAACAGTGTTCGGCTCCAATGTCCAAGGTTTTTGCCAGGACATAGACACAAATTATAAAGTTTTAATATGAGCATTTTGTTGAGCTTTTCAAAGCACCGATGAAAAAGTTTCACACATCTTATGCTCACATGTCTTTTTCAAATTATCTTCAGCTTATCAGGAAATGAAGTCAGTAATAGCCATAACCAAATTCACACATGCTCATGTAATGGCAAAGGTAGTTATGCATGACGGACAGACATCTAGCTGACAGCAAGTGAAAGACATCCTGATTTCAGAAATGTAAAGCTCTACTTCTGACAATGCAAAAATCAATACCCAGAAAATAAAGGGAGACCTTTCCTTTGATTTTTCAAGAAATTAACCAACATTTCATTAGCATTTTAGAAAATGTCATCACCAAGGTATCTGAATCACAAGTTAAACAAACTTATATAAGTCTCCATCCATGGTGATAATACAATAGGTGCAACTTTTTAGCTAACTGACCATTTCTTCTAAGTGGTCACATTAATGTCTTCACACACTGAAACAGACTACTAATTACTTCAACTCCTATTGCATAATCTCATAACATTGATATTTTTCTAGTTATGTGTGTAGGTGGGCTGTATTATTTATACATTTCATTCACAAAAGCAAACATTGTTTTAGAAACGTGTCATAACTAAGTGACATTTGGTCTCTTACGGTTGAGAGAATACTGAATACTGGACAGCAAATAATTGCTTTTTTCCTAAACAGAAAGCAAACATTTGATTACTATCCTACAAATTACTAATCTGCTTGTGAATTGAGAGAAGAGGGAGAGAAAAAAGTGTGCATCAACATGTTAAGAAAGGATGTCTTATGTTCTTACTTGAAAGAGATGATTTCATAGAGCATGGACTCTTGAGTCAAACTCCCTGGGTATAAAGCAGTGGACCACCATTCCATGTCACTCTGAGTAGAAGACCTGTCTCTCCTTGCCTCACTTTCCTGTCAAGTAAATTAACAGTCATGTTAGCACTGCCTTATAGTATACTTAAAACTAAAAGATACAATACATAGGGTAATGTTTATTAAGCCAGTAGAATACCATAAATAAGTGAAAGCTACCATTAATTATAACTGGAAATCAATGCAAAACAAAAATGTTTGAATTTTCACCACACTTCTTGTCACTGTTCAATAGTTCTTAAACAAATCTGATTCCTTGATAGGTAATCATAATTCATCTTTTCCCATGGATAACATTATATTAGGACGTAGTCAATCATGTTTACGGTAGTGGAGTCTATTGCCAAATGCCATACAAATGCTCTGTCAAGTACCAATATAGCCTACATTTCAAACAGTAGAAATGCCATGATAAACACATAGCCAAATACATTCAAATGAAACATATTGCCAGTATAGACATGCAATTCGTTTCTCTAAGGTCATTTAAGGTTTTCTTTTATTCAAATAAAAGAATCTACCAAAATCCAATATTGCATCGAGTAAATGTGAAAGGAGTAGTAACTGTGCTTCGATTCTATGGGAAGACACAGGATAAGGAGAACGCCATATAAGACACAACCAGAGTCACTAAAAATGGAGTGTATAACTAATTGCTAAATTGCACAACATGGCTCGTAAGAGAGTTGAAGAAATTCAGAAGGGCAAGATTAATGTATTGGAGAGAGGTTAAGGAAAGCTCTACACAGGAGAAAGGAGGAAGAATTTAGCAGCATTTCATGTATGACCTTAGCTAAGCTATTAAAATGTCAATGTCTGTTTCATTTCACAAAATTTGACAATTTAATGCAATGTGAGATGTACAGTACATTCTAATATAAGATTCGTGGTTGGTCTTAGAGAATAGGCAGGATCTACCTACAGGAAGTCTCAGCACAGTGACCTGCACTGAGATATATTCTTTTTTTTTTAAAGATTTATTTATTTTATTACAAAGTCAGATATACAGACTTATCTTCTAAAATTCTTGTACCTTTAAAAGGACTCTACTGTATTCAGTAAAAAGCGATCATAACCTGGGATTTCCTAAAGAGTTATAATCATTCAGTCTTCCAATGGGATACTCAGGTAATTAAAATCAGAAGAAATTTGCATTTTTCTCACTTTTCATAAATATACTCAGTCAAATACTCCACATCACAACTTTTCAACTACATGCACAGTAACAGTCCCTCCCAAACCTCTCATCACTCCATTCAGCAGACTCCTGATATCATTTATATGCAGTATCTGCAACTGAGCTTATTAACCTTAACAGAAGCACCAATTACACCTCTACACAGCATGAAAAGACATATCTTACAGAACTGGCACAACCCTGGTACCTTTAGTAATCCTCTGCTTCATGCTCATTTGAATTGTCGGTCACTTTCAAGACTGAATATGGTTTTGTGGCAATTAAAAAAAGAGGGCCCCTATAAAATTTCAGTTTACAGTCTTCCCAAATATCTTTAGTGGTATATTTGGGCTTTAGTTTTGCCTGCTTATCTCCTAAGAATACTTCAGATTTCCACACCCAAAGGATTTCAAGCAGAGAAAAACACACCTAAGCATGCAGGACTGTGGGGGATGCAATGGGAAAGGCTGAAGAGGCAGCTATTAGAAACAACTGGAAGCTTGTGCAGATGGGAGCAAAGGTAACACAAGGAGGATCCATTTCAAATTGCTTCTGAAACACTTAGCTTAAAATGACCGATTTATTTTCTGAATTCTCAAAATCCGGGTGTTGGGAGGACTGTCCTTCTGTGGAGGCCCAAGGAGAAGAACCCGTTCTCTCACCTTGGTCTTCCCGGAGCTGCTGTATCTCTACTTCCTCTATCTTCAAAGCCTACAGCTTCATATTTTTCTCACTCCCCTCTGCTTTGGCCATCATAGTTTCCCTGACCCTGCTACCTCCTTTTTAATGGACCAGTGTGGCTCCCCACACGTCCTCCCTGGATAACGCAGGGGAGCCTTCTCCTGCCAGACCCTTCATTTAGTCATGCCGGAATGTCCCTTTTGCCACCTAACAGGTTCTGAGGATTAGCACATGGACGACCCATTTGAGGGCCATCAGAGTGAGTCCGATACCAATACAAGGTAAAATTAGTGGATAGAAACCGTTATTCACCTTGAGTCAATCGACTGCATGTTGTATTCCACAAATTTTCTACTTCAAAACCACTGGGATTATCCTCACACATGGGTGGTGGTCCCTTACCAATATTTCTGTAGTCCCTTGTAGCTCTGTAAGACAACACCAATTTAACTTACAAGTCAGCAGATGAAACCAGAGACATGACTTCCTTCTCAAAAGAACTCTGAGTCAACTGCCATAAACAGGTATTTCATTAGATCCAAATTGTCCTATTCTATAGGACGAAATATGTTAATCAATTGCGGTTATGGGGTTAGAAATAACTATAATTCCCTTTCTTACCGTGAAGGGGCATTTAATAAACTTTAGCAAATTGATCTTGGCTTAATTCCTGACGATTTATTATGCAGCAAAAAAAAAGGTCTTATTTAGTGCAGACCATAAATTGGGGACTAGCAATAAATAATACGCATTTCTTTGGTAGGTTAAGGGGGAAAGCTGATATGGAGAGGGTGGTGGTTGACTTTTTCATGTCATTTCCACTTAAGAAAAATGTTTCATTATCTCATTATCCACCTTGGTTAAAAATAGTTTCGATCACAGTCGGACCGAGTAACGGAAGAGATTTATATTCCTGCCTCAGAAAACCACCACCGAAAAACATGTTCTCAGACAACAGACAGCAGGCAGCGTAAGGACTGAAACCGCTGCAATTACTCCAGCCCAAAAGCCGGAAGCATTAGAAGTCTTGTCCACTACCATCATCCCCGGAGAACGGCCAGCCATTATTTACGTAAATAAAATTACCTTCTTTACTCAGTAAACAGAGGCAGCCGAGGAGCCAATCCAGGGGCGCAGCCAAGTCTCGCGAGGCCGCGAGATCTACCGCTCTGACGTCACTGCCCCGGAGACTCCGCGAAGAGAGGCTGGGCGGGGCGAGCGGTGTCTGGGTACCCGCGGCGTCCGGCTGGAGCGCGGCGTCTGTGAGGAAAACAGAGCTTCTGTGAGCGCGGCGTCTGTGAGGAAAACAGAGTTTGCGCTGCCGGGGCTTGACGGTCTGCAACATGAGCGGCCTGGAGGGGGACGAGAACACCCCACTCGCACGGACCCTCAGCCTGGCGGCTCTCCGAAGTCCTCCGGGAGATGTCGAGGCGATACAGGTGATGGCGGAGACCGGTGAGGGAAGTTTGGGGTCTGTCGCACGGGCACCGACCAAGCTGTCAGAGGAGGGGGGCGTGCCGCGGGAGTCCACGGACGGTGGCCTTGCTGCCCGGTCCCGAGTCGCAGGGGGTCGCGGTCCCGGAGCGATCGAGGCCGGGCGGGAAGAGGCTCCGCCTCCCTCGGAGGGACTGGAAGCTGCTTTGGTGGCGACGGCCACTGGCTGCAGCCTTCATAATGTCTTTCAGGGTGGGGAGAAGGTTCCAGAAACTTGTGGCGCAGAGAGGTCGGAGTCTGAGGCGATGCTGGGGCCCGAGGCTGAGGAAGCGGAGGTTGCAAAGCGTGCGGTCGATTCCGAAGCCGTGGATGAGGAGAGGGCTGACGTGGTGGAGCCGGGGGAAGTAACGGAGAAACAAGAACAGCCGGAGGAGATGGAGGTGGAGAAGCCGGCAGGTGAAGGAGGAGAGGTGGAGAAGGAAGATGGAGTGGGAGAGGCGGCGCAGGAGGAGGCCCGTCCCTGGCGTCTGAGTGCGGCCCTGCGCATGAACCCGCTGGAGGCCATCCAGCAGGAACTGGACACGGTGAATGCTCAGGCTGACAGGGCCTTCCAGCAGCTGGAGCAGAAGTTTGGGCGAATGCGTCGGCACTACCTGGAGCGGAGAAACTACATCATCCAGAATATCCCGGGTTTCTGGATGACCGCCTTTCGGAACCACCCCCAGTTGTCCAGCATGATTAGGGGCCAAGATGCAGAGATGTTAAGGTACGTAACCAACCTGGAGGTAAAGGAACTCAGACACCCTAGGACTGGCTGCAAGTTCAAATTCTTCTTCCGAAGAAACCCCTATTTCAGGAATAAGCTGATTGTGAAGGAGTATGAGGTTCGAGCCTCTGGCAGAGTGGTGTCTGTTTCCACGCCGATCATATGGCGCAGGGGACACGAACCCCAGTCTTTCATCCGTAGAAACCAAGACCTCATCTGCACTTTCTTCACCTGGTTTTCAGACCACAGCCTTCCTGAATCCGACAAAATTGCGGAGATTATCAAAGAGGACTTGTGGCCAAATCCACTGCAGTACTACTTGTTGCGTGAAGGTGTCCGAAGAGCCAGACGCCGCCCAATAAGGGAGCCGGTTGAGATCCCCAGGCCCTTTGGGTTCCAGTCGGGTTAAGCTTTGCGCTTGGGAATCCTGCACAAGGTTCCTCATCACCTTCTGTTGGCCTGTCCTGGGACAACAGTGATGAATCTGCCGCCTTTTGGTTTTTGTTAAGCTTTCTGCATTCTGTCTTCTGTTAGACATTTAGTCTGCTAAACCTCCAGATTGAGACCATTGTAGGCATGCTGCTTCACTTCTACGTGACCTTCATGCTGCTCTACATTAGTGACATGCTGCGTGATTGTGGTGCACACCACTGTAAAGCTAAGCAAATGAGGACTGTAGATTACACTGCTTTTATCTCCATTGCTTACTTAAAAACTTCCTTTGTTCCCAGGAAACTTTGTTCTGGTTACTACCACCAGGATTTATAGTTTTGTTTCAAAATCCATTCTACATAGCCTCTGCATCCAGCATTGAAGTATATGGTTTGTGAGCAGTTATGTGACTTAATATAATGTGAAGGAAGAACAGCAGGGTCCCATTTGTTTCATATCGTTTATGCTACTCCATTACTCTTCAGTATCACTGTTACTGTTTCCATGGCTATCTCTCTGGCTGCTGCTAGTATTTGTTAAGAGAAACATTATGATAAAAGGATCTGCAAAAGAAGGCTTTTTAGTTTATTTTGCTTTATTGTTCCTAGAGAGGTTATTTAGTAAAATTTTTAGGGATTTTGCATTCTCAGCTCTCTTCCCAAGTCACCAACTCCTTTCATAAGTCCTGGAGGGCTCAAAGAGATCTGGTAGGCAATGGATGGAAGAAATAAAGAGATTGTGATGAATGCCATGGACAGGGAAAACTGAACAAAAGATCAGAAGCAGAAGTGAGCCAGGCAAATATTGGGCAAGGATTTGGCTGACAGAGCCTTCTAGCAGAGGATACTTAATTAAATTGTAAGAGTAACATGTTTCTTAGGGTGGTGATAAAGAGGATTGGTTATTAAAATAGTGCCTAAACAATAGTTGTTTAAAGAAATTCAGTGCTACTTTGGATGCGTTCTGTTTTGCTATTATGTGACTTGATGTGGAAGATTATCACTGTACCCTTGTTTCATTAGTATTTCATGTTACTGTTTTCTGTTTCTGCTTGCTTGGTAAATTGAGCTGTACTGACTTCTGCTTTCAAGTAGGAACATTAGAATTAATCTTGCTTTCCTGTGCAATATTAAGACTTACGTGAATACTTATAGTAGTTTTCAACTTGTTCTTGTTTCTACTGAATTCTGTTAAATTCCATTATAGTTTTAGAAACATGGTTTGAACAAGTGGGTCATTATTAGTGGGTCATTATTAAACTATTTAATATAGTTTTATTGAAAAATAATTTATCCAAAAGTGTGTGGCTTATTTGGATAATTTGGGTAATAACTTAGTATTTGATGTATCTTTTCCTAAGTTATGCAATACTTGTAACACTGCTGTGTCAAAATAGAAATGTACAATTGGCATATTTGTCTTATATGCATGATAATAAAAAATAAAAGCATGTTGCTCTGCTGGATTTATTGTCATGTTTTTTTTTTAAATTATTTTTTTGCTTGAAGGTCAGGGTTGCAAAAAGCAATAGAGTGAAAGAAATCTCCCGTGTGCTGATTCACTTCTGGATGGCCACAATGGCCATGCTGAAGCAGGCCAAAGCCAGGAGCTTCATCCAGGTCTCCCATGGCAGTGGCAGGGGTCCAAGCATTTAGGCCATCTTTTAATCCTTTTCCCAGATCATTAGCCGGGAACTAAATCAGAAGTAGAGCAGCTGGGCCTGTTAACCTCTGCCCATGTGGGATGTTGGTGTTGCGTGTGTTGTTTTCCTTGCTATGCCACAAGACTGGCTTGATTTCTTATTTTTCACCCTGCCTGTAAACTTGCTTGAATGCAGATTTCAAGTTAATGACACCATGGAGTTGTGAAGTCTTAAAATGACATTATCCCAAAGGTAAGAAATCAGCACAGTACTATACCTTCCAAAATAGGGGATTCATGGGATTATTTTACTTTGAAGGATTTAAACAGTTGAAATTGCTTACTTAATAATGTTGCTTTTTTCCATATAGCTTATATGCTGATAATCACCTCTTCAAAACCTCTCATTTCCATAAGTAGTAGTCCTAGATCATTTAGCTCTTACTTTTACTGACTTGGGCAGTTAATGCATAAATGTTCAGGAAATACTATTACATTTGGGTTCCAGTGTCCTATTACCATATTTTCCGTCTGTAAAAACTTGACCACTCCTTTTATCAGACTTCCTCACCTTTCCTTCCTTCAGTAAAAATTTCTCAAACTTTTCAATATCCATTATTGGTAACTCCTGTGTCTTACAGCCATTCTCAGAGAAAATAAAATATTTCTTTATGTACTTAGAGAATGCTTTATGCTTTGGAGGCCTTTTGTTCTAGAAAATAATACAGTTGTTAATTTGTGCATTCCATAATTATTTAAGGAGTTCACTTTGCCCCTAAGAAGAGAGAAAGTATGAAAAGACAAAGTACACTGTCTCTATTGTTAAAGAATCAGGGAAGGAGTAATAGGCAAAGAAAAACTGACACACTGGTGCAACAAAGTAAGATACAGAGATACAGTTTCACTTTTTTTTCATATTTCACTTTCTCTAGCTTGGAAACTGTGAAGATGGAGATAGAGACCTTTTTAAAAATTATTTTTAAATATTTATTGTTGAAAAGGCAGATTTGCAGAGCAAAGGAGACTCGGAAAGATTTTCAATCTGCTGATCAGTGGCTGTAACAACCAGAACTGAGCTGATCAGAAGCCAGAAGTCAGCAGCTAGGAGCTCCTTCCCTGTCTCCCACATGGATGCAGTGTCCCAAGGCCATGAGCCATCTGCTGCTGCTTTCCAGGACTTAATAAGCAGGGAGCTGGGTGGGAAGTGGAGTAACTGGGGCATGAACCAGCACCTATAGGGGTTGCCGGCATTTGCAGGAAGAGGATTGGCCATTTGAGC